ACTTTACACTTCTCTAGTAAGTTTCGTCTGTGTGTGAAGACGAATTCCGTGAATGAATGTTCCGAAGTGAAATTGGAATGGAATTGAATTGAATTAAAGTTGAATAAACTTCAACTTTACTGTTCAGTGCTCTGATGTCAGACTCATTTTGGATAATAAAGTTTATTGTTAAATTGTTAAATTCCCTGCCTTCTTTACGTTTCTTTGTCACGTCATTATAAGTGTTTGATCACCACATTTGAGTGATCATTGCAAAAAATGTGTTTATGTATATGTATATTCTGTTTATGTATATACTGTATTCTATATATACTGTGTATATATATATATATATATATGTGTGTGTGTGTGTGTGTATATAGTACCAGTCAAATGTTTGGACACACGAATGGGAAAGTGTCCAAACTTTTAACTGGTACTGTACTATAATATACACAAAGAATATCGGCTGATATATCGATATCAGCCTTTTTTACTCCCTAATATCGGTATCGACCCCTAAAAAAACCATATCGGTCGGGCTCTAATCAACAGCACACACTGTTTGCACTAAATGCTGTGTGTACACTAAAAACAGTGCCATGACATTCACCAACATGACTTGCTCAGTCCATATACACACCAGTGTGAAAGAATTGTCACAGAAAAGCAGTTCTATTAAACTGCATCTTTTAGCTTTTTTATACTGAATCTATAAATATCTAGTCAATTGTAAATATATTGTCAATTTAAATGAGCATAAACTCATGTGAGATTCACTTCAGGAACTTGTGCTGTTCTTGCCAGAAATATAAATCACATCCTTTTTCGTTATGACTGTGAAGATGTTGCAAGAAAAAAGGAAGGGGAAGATGAAACTTGGACAAACAATGTATTAGTATCTGGTTTAAAGGTTTCTATTCTTTGAGATGTAGTTCAATATACCCGTGTTTAATTTAGCTTTATATAATCGTGTTTAGGTGATGATGTACATGAGGTAAGACTCTGTTCTCCATCGTTGTGTCGCTCTGTAGGAGATCGACCCCAGTCTGGGTGTGGCGGAGCTCCCCGATGAGTTCTTCGAGGAGGACAACATGCTCAGTATGGGGAAGAAGATGATGCAGGAAGCCATGAGCGCTTTTCCCGGCATCGACGAGGCCATGAGCTACGCAGAGGTCATGAGGTCGGACTCAGTCAGCTTCCTGCATTGAACATATTGCACTGTAATAGTCTCACGATGCAATATTTCTTTCTAAACGGCATCGTCTTGAAAAGCTCTAGTCATAGGGGTGTTTAGATGAGGTCTGAGCCTTCATTAGCATTTCAAACACTTCTTTGATAAAGAGTTGTAAGTCAAGAATGAAACCACATGAATCACAGCATTACAAACTTTCCTTCAAAGCATCCAAAAGACAAGGATAAAAGTGTGCAATGAATTACATAATTCAGTAATAAAAAAATTGTAAATAAAACCGGGTTTTATCTTGGCCTTTTAATGCAGTAACACTCTTCCACATCTAGATGGCAAACCACCCACAGTCACTGTTTACACCCACATTCAACAGTCATTTTTATGTTGTTTATTTAAAAATATGTATAAAATATGTGTGGTGTATATAATCATTAGCTTGTTGTTATTGATGTATTTATTAATATAATAATTATTATAGAAATAAATAGTAGAAATACATTTATACAGTTACTTTGGTTCTTCAGAAATCATTTGAATATGCCAATTTAATTTTTTTTTAAATTTCTCTTTCTCAAATATTCAAGTATTTATAATAATAATACTATTTTTTTAATGTTTTAATAACAGTAATATTTTGAGATTTTTGTCTATTTTAATCAGTTTTAAAATGTAACTTATTCCTGTGATATCAAAGCCTCGGTGAGCATATTTCAAATCTGAATTATTTCAAACTTTTGACTGCTAGTGTCCAAAATAAAAAAATAAAAAATAAAGTTATCTATATGTATATATATATATATACATGTATGTATATTATTATGTAATATAAGTAATATATATTTTATATAAAACGTATTAATTGTATTATTTTAATTTATTAGTAATACAAAAAATTATTCAATTATCCCATTCTCTTTTTTTTTTTCTTGTTTTTGTGTAGGTTAGTGAAAGGCATGAATTTTTCGGTGGTGGTGTTTGACACGGCCCCTACGGGACACACTCTGCGTCTGCTCAACTTCCCCACCATCGTGGAGAGAGGACTGGGCCGCCTCATGCAGATCAAGAACCAGATCAGCCCCTTCATCTCACAGGTATCAGCACTGCATTCTGGGAATTGCTGTGTTTGTAAAATAGCACTGGAGAATAGTGGAATATACGAGTAGAGAAATGTATAAAAGTTTATAGAAAAAGTGTGAATGTTTATAAAAAAACAACAAAAAAAACAATTTGACTTCCTGTCAAACCATTGCAGATGTGTAACATGTTGGGCCTGGGAGACATGAATGCAGATCAGCTGGCGTCTAAACTGGAGGAGACGCTCCCCGTCATCCGCTCAGTCAGCGAGCAGTTTAAGGACCCGGTGAGTGTCACGCCTCAGTGGTCCCTGTTAATGCCTGATCAGAAAGATGAAAAATGTTGATTTCTGCTTGGCATACAGGAGCAGACGACGTTTATCTGCGTGTGCATCGCAGAGTTCCTGTCTCTGTATGAGACGGAGCGTTTGATTCAGGAGCTGGCCAAGTGTCGCATCGACACGCATAACATTATCGTCAACCAGCTGGTTTTCCCTGACAGCGAAGGGCCCTGCAAGATGTGTGAAGCCCGACACAAGATTCAGTCCAAGTATCTGGACCAGGTGTGTGTGTGACCAGTTAAGACAAATGACATTTTATGACTTTGCATTTATACGCTACGGAAACCTGTGACAAGATTCCTAGTCTTAGTAGAAAGAAGGAAAGTGTCTGTCAGTGGAGGTTCTTTACTGTGCCGCTTTGGTCTCAGTATCTTTTTAGTGAAACATTATCTGCAAGATGTAATGTCACCGTTGTGTTAGCGCCGTTGTGTTACAGGCGTCCCGAGTTCGAATCCCAGCTCGAGGACCATTCCCGCTCCCACTTGGCTTCCTGTGTGTTTACACTATCCTATCATAATAAAGGCTAAAAATAATGTCATTCAGATCGAACCAATGCATAATTTACGTTAGTTATATTTTATTGTACCTTCAGGAGTTTAAAAATCAAATCTAATTTCTTCAATCTCTTCCTCGTTGCTTTCTTTTCTTTCCTTTCTGTTCTATTTCTTCCTTTACCCTTTTCCTACTTTACCTTTTCTTTTTCCTCTTCCTTTTGGTGTTTATACTTTTACTTTTACTTTATTTTCCCACCGTACCTTGCTCTTTCCTATTCCTTTCCATTTTCTCTTTCTCTTTCTCTTTTCCTCTTTCTCTTTCTCTTTTCCTTTTATAATTTCCTTTTTTAATTTTCTTTTGCCTTTTCTACCTTTCCATACTTTTTGTTCTCTTTACTTTTTTCTTTTTCTTCACACTTTTTCCTCCTCTTCTTTCCTTTCTACTTTTACATTTTTCTTTATCCTCCCCCAATTATTTTCCCTATTTCTGTTTTCCTTAATATTTAATGTTTTATTCTTCCCTTTCTTCCTCCTGTTTACTTTCTCTCTGTACATTTCTTTCTTCCTTCCTCTTGTTTTTCTTTAAAATTTTCCTTTCCTTTCTTTCCTTTCCGTTGCTTTCTTTCCTTTCCTTCCTTTGATTTCCTTTCTTTCCTTTCCGTTGCTTTCTTTCCTTTCCTTCCTTTGATTTCCATTCCTTTCCTTTCCTTTCCTTTCCTTTCCTTTCCATTCCTTCCTTTCCTTTCCTTTGCTTTCCTTTGCTTCCTTTCCTTTCCTTTCCTTTCCTTTCCTTTCCTTTCCTTTCCTTTCCTTTCCTTTCCTTTCCTTTCCTTTCCTTTCCTTTCCTTTCCTTTCCTTTCCTTTCCTTTCCTTTCCTTTCCATTCCTTCCTTTCCTTTCCTTTGCTTTCCTTTGCTTATGCTTATTGCTTGAACACCACATTAGTTTACATAAACCTCTGCTTGCATACGAGATTGCTTGATTCTACATCTTTGATCCAGACATTCAGTACTCTTTCAGAAGATGCATATAACAGTGACAACCTGAAAAGTTGAAACAATTCTGTCAATGGCAGGAAAGCGTCTCATAAATTACGGAAAATTCCGTTAATGGAGGGGAAAGAGTTAAAACGTCAGCAAAATTACCTTTCCTTTGCTTTGCTTTGCTTTGCTTTGCTTTGCTTTGCTTTCCTTTCCTTTCCTTTCCTTTGATTTCCTTCCTTTCCTTTCCTTTCCTTTCCTTTCCTTTCCTTTCCTTTCCTTTGCTTTCCTTTGCTTTCCTTTCCTTTCCTTTCCTTTCCTTTGATTTCTTTCCTTTCCTTTCCTTTCCTTTCCTTTCCTTTCCTTTCCTTTGCTTTCCTTTGCTTTCCTTTCCTTTCCTTTCCTTTCCTTTGATTTCCTTCCTTTGATTTCCATTCCTTTCCTTTCCTTTCCTTTCCTTTCCTTTCCATTCCTTCCTTTCCTTTCCTTTGCTTTCCTTTGCTTCCTTTCCTTTCCTTTCCTTTCCTTTCCTTTCCTTTGCTTTGCTTTGCTTTGCTTTGCTTTGCTTTCCTTTCCTTTCCTTTCCTTTCCTTTCCTTTGATTTCCTTCCTTTCCTTTCCTTTCTTTTCCTTCCTTTGATTTCCTTCCTTTCCTTTCCTTTCTTTTCCTTCCTTTCCTTTGCTTCCTCTCCTTTCCTTTGATTTCCTTTCCTTTCCCACTTCTTTTACCTCATTGTTTTTCCTTAACTCTTAATCCTTTCAATTTTTTTTATCCTTTTCCTTCTTTCATCCCTTCTATTGTCCTGTCTTTCCCTTTTTTCTTGTCTTTTCTCTTCCTTGTCTCTCTCTCTCTCTCTCTCAGATGGAGGATTTATATGAAGATTTCCACATAGTAAAGTTGCCTTTGCTGCCTCACGAGGTTCGAGGAGCGGACAAGGTCAATACTTTCTCCAAGCAGCTGCTGGAGCCCTACAGCCCGCCCAAGAAGTGACTGAAATGATTTCCACGGATCAAACACACACCATCACATCCCTCGTCCCTGATGCACGCATCCCTCTGGTGTTTACATCTCCACACCTTTACTCCCCCCCCCCCTCTCGCTGTCTCTCTCCTCTCTCTGGTTTTCTGGTCATGTCACAACTGATGCCGCCATGTTGCTCCAGTGATCCGTTATGAATGTCGGCTGAGAGTTAAACAGCCCGTTTAGAAACAAAGTCTTGATGGTTTATGTTGCTTTGTGATGATGTATTTAAGCTTCAGAAACACTCATTCCGGATGCGTGTTTAAGAAAGGAGATTCATATTGATATCACCACAGGAATGTACAGCTGGACTCTGATTCAGTGGTTGAACATGAGTAGTATCTTTTGTTTCAGATTCTGGTCAATATTAATAGACTTTATTTTGGTTCCTGATCTGGGCTGCGTTTCCCAAAAGCATCGTAAGCCTAAGTACATCATAGACTCATTGCGACCAATGGAGCTACAATCAACTTAGGCTTACGATGCTTTTGGGAAAGGCAGCCCTGGTCAGTATTGATGTTCAAGGAGAAGGTGGGGGGGGGGGATGCATATTTAATGAGTTAAAGGGATAGGTCACCCCCTAAAATATTGTCATTTTTTTACTCACTCTCATGCTGTTCCAAACCTTTGACTTTTAATGCAATTCAAAATTCTCTTTGTGTTCATGCAAAAATAACAAACAACATACAAGCTTGTAAAAACAAGGGTGAGTAAATTTTTGGGTGAACTATGCCTTTAAACTTATTCTTAATCGACTAATATTTGCAGTGAACCAAATGTAATTACTGTGTACAAACATTGTGATTCAATTTATCTAATTTAATTTTTGCAGTTAAAGCGATGCATTTATATAGATTTCCGTTCACGTAGTCTATAGCATTTATTTGAGAGATGTCTGTTTCTGGTTCTGGGTTGTGAAGCATATGTAGATGCGTTGTTCTTCCTCTCACTTCTGTTCTTCTTATCATTTGGCAGTAATGTCTGCATGCATCAAAACACAGGAATGCACACACACAGGATCAGAAGCTTGTTTAAATCCACTGAAAAAACACTGCAACCTGTCAGCCGAGATGACTATTAGACCATACTATACCGTGCTGGTTAAGTGTGTTTTCCTTCTTTTATCATCCTGTGGTTTCATGGCGTGAAGCAGTGGCCTCCTTAGTTAATGAAAACCAGTGACAAGAACTCACAAACCCGACAGTATATCAGAAGATTTGCATCTTTTATCAGTTCTTAGTCGGTTTTGCTAAAGTTTCTTTGTTCTCTTATAACTTGTTACTGCCTTTGCAAAGTTGGCTTCTTTTTCTAGAAGCACACCAAGTCTCAAAGCAAATAAAACACTATCCTCCATCTACTGCAGAGGGTGTTTCTGTTCAGTTATTTTTGAGAATGTGCAAATTTTGTTTCTACCAAGGCTAAAACATTTTACATTGCATCTAAACATCTTGCGTGCAAAATGCTGAACAGTTAAAGGCTCAAACACTGCAGCAGTGAACACTGAAAAACATAATTCAACAACAAAAAAAAGTAGCCTACTGCAGAACCATGAGTTAAGGACATTAAAGGTTATTTTTTGTACAGTGTGGAATTTTTGGAGTCGTTAAGATTTTTAAATGTTTTTGAAAGAAGTCGTTTGTTCAACAAGGCTGCATTTATTTAAACTGATCACTTGTGACCCCAGATTAAATGCAGTAAAACTGTAATATTGTAAAATGTTATAATTTAAAATGAATATTTTCTTATTTCATAATATAATCCTTCAGAAATCATTCTCATATGCTGATTTGCTGCTCGTCAAAAATTTATGAATTTTGAGAACAGTTGTTTTGCTTCATATTTTTGTGGAAACAAATTGAATGGAAATAGAATTGTTCTTTTAAGATTTTAAATATCTGTGTCACCTTTAATTAGTTTAATGCATCCTTGCTGAATAAAGTGTTAATTTCTTTCTAAATAAAAATCTTCCTGGCTCCAAACTTTTAAAGGAACAGTTCACTTAAAAGTAAAAATTCATGCTATTGGAAACCAAAATGATTTTCTTTCTTTCATGGAGAATAAAAGGAAAGATTTTCAGAGTATTCTTTTTTTCAGAACAGTAAAAGTAAAGCACCTTAAAAATGGTTCATACACTTGTGCACTACAGGTGCATCTCCAAAAAATTAGAATATCATGAAAAAGTTTTTTTTTGTAACTTATTTCAAAAAGTGAAACTTTCATATATTCTAGCTTCATTACATGTAAAGTAAAACATTTCAAAAGTTTTTTTTTGTTTTAATTTTGATAATTAGAGCTTACAGCTCATGAAAGTCAAAAATCCAGTATCATAATATTAGAATATTTCCTAAGATCAATCAAAAAAAGGATTTGCAAAACAGAAAAGTTCAAGTTCTTTAAAGTATGTTAATTTATGCACTCAATACTTGGTCGGAGCTCCTTTAGCACAAACTCCAGCCTCGGTGAGGTGTGGCATGGAAGCGATCAGCCTGTGGCTCTGCTGAGGCACTATTGAGCCTTCAGCTCGTCTGGATCGTTGGATCCACTGTTTCTCATCTTTCTTTTGAAAATATCCCATAGATTCTATATGAGGTTCAGGTCAGGCATGTTGGCTGGTCAATCAAAAGCAGTCATATCATGGCCAGCAAACCACTTGGAAGTGGTTGTGGCACTGTGGGCAGATGCTAAAGTCCTGCTGGAAAAGGAAATCAGCATCTCCATAAAGCTTGTCAGCAGATGGAAGCATAAAGTGCTCCAAAATCGCCTGGTAGACGGCTGCATTGACTTTGGACTTGATAAAACACAATGGACCAACACCAGCAGAGGTTTTCTGCTAAATGTCAAGTATAATTCAGCATAAACACTAGAAATGGACACGAGTGGCACTGTGAATACGAAAGCATTGGTTTCTCATTCCTTTTAACCAATTTAGAAAATAATTTTTTGGGGATTGTGCTCAAAAAGGCTGATTAAACAATTTAGAGCATAACTAAAAGAGTTAATGAATTACATATTTTTCAGTTCTGGAAAACAAGCTCTACAAATTCCCTGACATTTTCAGGTTTCATTTCCATGGCAGTACGAAGCCTGTCTACAAGGCATCCGCTGCAAAGATTCCTTAGAAAATAACAAGTAAAGATGAGGGAGGGCAGTCTTACCCTCAGGCCTCAGCGTTTCAAAACCTGGTCTGGAAACTGATGATGGATTTCCTCCATTGACAATGCGGACACGCTCACTGCTGTTCATCCTCTTGTACTTGTTATCCACCCTGCTGACAAACTGACACCAGGGATCTCTTTTAATCTCAGCAAGACTCTGCTCTTTTTCCTATCTGCAGTAAGACCTCAGCACTATGGCAGGGAGAGCAAACTCAAGAGGACCTGTTACCTGTAATAACTGAAAGATGAAGACACTGGCTCTGGACAGACGTGGACTAGACTTGGGGTCTTGAGATGGTGCGGGCTCCTCAGGTTGTAGTGTGTTCTGTGAGCACAAATGCAAGTGAGAGAATTTTGTTAGAAAAGAACTCATGGAAAGTGATATTTACCAGGGCTGCGTTTCCCAAAAGCCTCGTAAGCCTAAATTGATAGTAGCTCCATAGGTGGCAATGGGTCTATGATGTACTTAGGCTTACGATGCTTTTGGGAAAGGCAGCCCTGGTCAGTATTGATGTTCAAGGAGAAGGTGGGGGGGGGGGATGCATATTTAATGAGTTAAAGGGATAGGTCACCCCCTAAAATATTGTCATTTTTTTACTCACTCTCATGCTGTTCCAAACCTTTGACTTTTAATGCAATTCAAAATTCTCTTTGTGTTCATGCAAAAATAACAAACAACATACAAGCTTGTAAAAACAAGGGTGAGTAAATTTTTGGGTGAACTATGCCTTTAAACTTATTCTTAATCGACTAATATTTGCAGTGAACCAAATGTAATTACTGTGTACAAACATTGTGATTCAATTTATCTAATTTAATTTTTGCAGTTAAAGCGATGCATTTATATAGATTTCCGTTCACGTAGTCTATAGCATTTATTTGAGAGATGTCTGTTTCTGGTTCTGGGTTGTGAAGCATATGTAGATGCGTTGTTCTTCCTCTCACTTCTGTTCTTCTTATCATTTGGCAGTAATGTCTGCATGCATCAAAACACAGGAATGCACACACACAGGATCAGAAGCTTGTTTAAATCCACTGAAAAAACACTGCAACCTGTCAGCCGAGATGACTATTAGACCATACTATACCGTGCTGGTTAAGTGTGTTTTCCTTCTTTTATCATCCTGTGGTTTCATGGCGTGAAGCAGTGGCCTCCTTAGTTAATGAAAACCAGTGACAAGAACTCACAAACCCGACAGTATATCAGAAGATTTGCATCTTTTATCAGTTCTTAGTCGGTTTTGCTAAAGTTTCTTTGTTCTCTTATAACTTGTTACTGCCTTTGCAAAGTTGGCTTCTTTTTCTAGAAGCACACCAAGTCTCAAAGCAAATAAAACACTATCCTCCATCTACTGCAGAGGGTGTTTCTGTTCAGTTATTTTTGAGAATGTGCAAATTTTGTTTCTACCAAGGCTAAAACATTTTACATTGCATCTAAACATCTTGCGTGCAAAATGCTGAACAGTTAAAGGCTCAAACACTGCAGCAGTGAACACTGAAAAACATAATTCAACAACAAAAAAAAGTAGCCTACTGCAGAACCATGAGTTAAGGACATTAAAGGTTATTTTTTGTACAGTGTGGAATTTTTGGAGTCGTTAAGATTTTTAAATGTTTTTGAAAGAAGTCGTTTGTTCAACAAGGCTGCATTTATTTAAACTGATCACTTGTGACCCCAGATTAAATGCAGTAAAACTGTAATATTGTAAAATGTTATAATTTAAAATGAATATTTTCTTATTTCATAATATAATCCTTCAGAAATCATTCTCATATGCTGATTTGCTGCTCGTCAAAAATTTATGAATTTTGAGAACAGTTGTTTTGCTTCATATTTTTGTGGAAACAAATTGAATGGAAATAGAATTGTTCTTTTAAGATTTTAAATATCTGTGTCACCTTTAATTAGTTTAATGCATCCTTGCTGAATAAAGTGTTAATTTCTTTCTAAATAAAAATCTTCCTGGCTCCAAACTTTTAAAGGAACAGTTCACTTAAAAGTAAAAATTCATGCTATTGGAAACCAAAATGATTTTCTTTCTTTCATGGAGAATAAAAGGAAAGATTTTCAGAGTATTCTTTTTTTCAGAACAGTAAAAGTAAAGCACCTTAAAAATGGTTCATACACTTGTGCACTACAGGTGCATCTCCAAAAAATTAGAATATCATGAAAAAGTTTTTTTTTGTAACTTATTTCAAAAAGTGAAACTTTCATATATTCTAGCTTCATTACATGTAAAGTAAAACATTTCAAAAGTTTTTTTTTGTTTTAATTTTGATAATTAGAGCTTACAGCTCATGAAAGTCAAAAATCCAGTATCATAATATTAGAATATTTCCTAAGATCAATCAAAAAAAGGATTTGCAAAACAGAAAAGTTCAAGTTCTTTAAAGTATGTTAATTTATGCACTCAATACTTGGTCGGAGCTCCTTTAGCACAAACTCCAGCCTCGGTGAGGTGTGGCATGGAAGCGATCAGCCTGTGGCTCTGCTGAGGCACTATTGAGCCTTCAGCTCGTCTGGATCGTTGGATCCACTGTTTCTCATCTTTCTTTTGAAAATATCCCATAGATTCTATATGAGGTTCAGGTCAGGCATGTTGGCTGGTCAATCAAAAGCAGTCATATCATGGCCAGCAAACCACTTGGAAGTGGTTGTGGCACTGTGGGCAGATGCTAAAGTCCTGCTGGAAAAGGAAATCAGCATCTCCCCAAATCATCACTGACTTCAGAAACTTCACACTGGTGGACTTCAAGCAGCTTGTATTCTGTGCCTCTCCAAAATTTACTTTTATCTGAAAAGAGGACATTGGACCACTGAGCAACAGTCCAGTTCTTTTTCTCCTTAGCCCAGGTAAGATGCTTCTGACGTTGTTTCTGTTTCAGAAGTGGCTGGTAGCCTGAAGACGTCTGAGCATAGTGACTCTTGATGCACTGACTCCAGCTTCAGTCCACTCCTTGTGAAGCTCTCCCAAGTGTTTGAATCGGCTTTGTTTGACAGTATTCTCAAGCTTGCGGTCATCCCTGTTGCTTGTGCATCTTTTCCTACCCAATTTCTTCCTTCCAGTCAACTTTGCATTTAATATGCTTTGATACAGCACTCTGTGAACAGCCATCCCTTTCAGTAATGACCTTCTGTGATCAGTGAT